CAGGCCACGGCCTCGAGCAGGGCGTCGTGGATGAAGCTGTACTGGTCCTCGGTCTGCACCATGTAATTGCGCTGGGACCTCATGAGGGTGACGTGCCCGTAGATGTCCACGGTCTTCTCGTGCTTGATCCTCTCCAGCATGGCGTCGATCACGATGAAGCAGCCGGTGCGGCCCACGCCGGCGCTGCCAGGGTGAGGGTGAGAGAGGGGATGTGATGGATTGTCCTTGTGATGCCACTGGGCAGTGTCACACCTCTGTGTGCCCTTGGCATTGTCCCCAGGGCATTGTCCCACCCTGTGTGCCCTGGGTATTGTCACCTGGGCATTGTCCCACCTGTGTCCACTGGGCATTGTCCCACCCTGTGTGTCCTGGGCATTGTCACCTGGGCATTGTCCCACCTGTGTCCACTGGGCATTGTCCCACCCTGTGTGCCCTGGGCAGTGTCACACCCTATGTGCCCTGGACATTGTCCCCATGACATTGTCCCACCCTGTGTTCTCTGGGCATCGTCCCCATGGCAGTGTCCCACCCTGTGTGCCCTGGACATTGTCACCTGGGCATTGTCCCACCCTGTGTCCCCTGGATATTGTCCCCTGGGCACTGCCTCACCCTGTGCCTTTGGCATCGTCCCCTGGGCATTGTCCCACCTGTGTCCCCTTGGCATTGTCCCCTGGCCACTGCCCTGCCCTGTGTGCCCTGGGCATTGTCCCCTGGGCATTGTCCCACCCTGTGTGCCCTTGGCATTGTCCCACCTGTGTCCCCTGGGCATTGTCCCCTGGGCACTACCCTGTCCCGTGTCCCTGCCACACTGCTCTGCCCCATGTCACCACTCTGGTCCATGTCCCCATGGCATCAATTCGTCCCATGTCTCCTCCCTGCCCTGTGTCCCTATGGCATCGCTCTGCCTCATGTGCCTTCTCTGCCCCATGTCACCACTCTGGTCCATGTCCCCATGGCATCAATTTGTCCCATGTCCCCTCTTTGCCCTGTGTCCCCTCTCTACCCAGTGTCCCAGGTAAATCCCCATCCTCACAGCAGCCCCATAGCGGGGGAAGGGATCCCGTACCTGCAGTGCACCACGATGGGGCCRGCATCGGGCGGGTTGCAGGTTTTCACCCTCCTCAGGAAGGCCAGGAAGGGCGTGGGGTACTCGGGRACGCCGTGGTCGGGCCACGCCGTGAACTGGAACTGCCGCACCTCGCGCTTCTCGCTGGAGCCGTTCTGCGGGGTGAGGGGACATCAGGGGGGTCAGGGGGGTGGCAGAACCCCAAAACCTGCCTGTGCTGGGGGTTCAGGCTGCCACAGCCCTGCCCAGCGAGGAGCAGGAGCTGCTCACCTTGTGCAGGGAGAAGGTCCTGACGCAGAAGGTGGCCAGCTCGATGGTGTCCAGCAGCGTCACCTGGATCATGCCGTACGTGTCCGTGCCTCGGCCTGGCCAGTACTGGTCACATTTTATCTGCAGGACAGCAGGGCTGGCTCAGTGCTGGGACAAAACCTGCGCTGCTGGGGGAGCTCGTTCCCAAACTGCCCCAAATTTCAAGGTTTTAAAATTACAGGTGAAGCTCTGGTAGAGGAGCTCTAAGTAGGGTGAGTCCTGACAACGAATCTGTCGTGCTTTATGGCTTAATATCAATTCTCTCACTCATCAGTGATTTTTTGGGTGATCTCAAGCACACTCATTCGGGACAGCAGCTGGCAAAGGCAAAGGGAGGTGCAAGAAATGTCTTTGCAGAGCAACAGGATGGGCACAGAACCTTCAGAAACAGCTCAGAGTGACCGAGCACAGGCTCTGTCAGCACATCAATCCCATGGAAAACAGATTGTAATCCTGAAAATTACAGGGAATGTACTGGGGCTTGTTAAACAAGAGAGCTGAATGTAGAACTTGCCACATGAYCAGCTCCAAGACAGAAATGCAGTGGGATCCAGCAGCCTCTTCTCCTGGAGTTGTTCTCCTGGAGCTGCCAAGGAAGCTGCAATTTTCCAGGGCGAACCATTTAGGGATTTTTTTTTTTTTTCCCTTTTTTTAAAACCAATGAATCACTGAACTTTCAGGGTGCTGGCAGAGCAGGCAGAAATCCCCCGCTGGCTGCACATCAAAGGGATTTGCTTCTCCCCCAACTCTCCACCCCAATCCCCCCCTCTGGATTATGACTAACCGCTCATCCCTCTCACGCATCTCACCCGTGATTTCTCCTCCAGTTTAGTCATCATAACAATGGTGGCTGAGCGCTGCTCCCACACCATCCTCCAGAAATCCCCAAAGGTTTCGGGCAGTGGCCCCTGCGTGGCAATGTAGGCGTTCTGCTTCCTGTAGCCGTCGATGTAGTTGGCGTTGATGTAATCGCTGCCCACGATTCCTGTGCCAAGGCAGCAAAAATCAGGGAATTGCTCAGCTGGAAGCACCAAGGAGGYTTTTGCAGGGCTGATCTTAAGAGGGAATTGCCTGGCAGGAACTCCAGAGCCTTCGTGGTTTGGGGGGTCGGGATCACAAAGGCTCTTGGTGAGTTTTTCCTGGCTTTTGGCGAGTTTTTTTCCTGCATTGCAGGGAGACAGGAAGTCCTTGCAAAAGGTACTAAAGAGACCCAATATCCTTGAGGATGTTTCTTCAAATAGGTCAAGGCTTGAAAAGCCTTGAAACCCTGGTGTTTTTACTCGTGTGCTTAACAGGAGCAAAGTCCTGGCCCAGGGGTCCAGCTGGACAGGACAAACCCGAGTCCTTGTCCCAACTCACCCCAAACCCACACAGAAAATGCACCTGGTCCATGACTGTGTGGTCCACAGTCCAATCCCAGCCATTCAGCTGCAGCTGGACAGAGTGAGGAATAAAACCAAGCTTGATTCAGCCAAGGAATGCTTTGAAATTACAGGCTTTGCCTCGCTCTAAATTGCCCGCTGTCATTTTTAGGAGTGGGGTTTTTTTTTATTTTTTTTTCCCCTCCTYGCTTGAGTTACGGACTATTGAGCTCCAGCTGCTCGCCTGGGTYGCTGCTTGAGGGTTTGGGATGAGCAGGAGGTGCTGCCAGAGTGAAGAGGTTGATTGGGACATGGCAGGGAAGGGAAAGCAGCCCCTGGCAGTGCCCGGGTTCAGCTGCGGAGCCGGCGCCTGGCACGGAGCGCCCGCTCTCCGGGGCGTTTTTGGCTGCTCCCGAGCGCCTGGCAGGGCTGGCAGGGCTGGCAGGATCTGCCAAGCCGTGATTAACTCGGTGCAGAGCCCTTCCCTCCCGTCTGCAGGGTGAGGAGATGGAAGGCAGGGAGGATTTCGAGCGGAGTGGGTGACAAAGCAGCGGATAACTCTGAAAACTCAGCACGGAGATGGCAAAGCAAGTGGGGCATCCTCGGTTTCACAGTGATTTGGGGCAGGTGATGCTGGGGAGCAGCAGCAGAAGGGATTTGGCTGCAGTGATGCTGGGGAGCAGCACCAGAAGGGATTTGGCTGCACTGATCGATGCTGCTGCTGATGATGGAGGTGAGGGGTGAGCCCAGGGTGCCCGCCCGTCCTCAAGGGCACTCAGGAACTTCAACTTTTGGAGAAACATCTTGTGATTGAATTTCTAGACGGTTCCCTACTCCTGTGCTCCCTCCCAGCCTGAAATTTCAGGTGGTTGTAATGGCAGGAGCGTGATCAAGGCTGGAATTAATCTCCTCTCCAGCCCCCTGGGGTCCCCTGTGTCATTTGAAACGGTGGCCCTGAGCTCCTGCAATRTTTCACCGTGTGGCCGGCCCAGCTTCACAAAAACCACAGAATTAAAGCCACTGCTCCTTCCTGACCAAGCAGCCTCGGCAAATCCAGGTTTAAAACAAAGAGAAAGCGACAAAAGYGATTCCTGCAGCTCCTTTCATCCCCCAGCCCTGAGCACAGAACAGAGCCTGGCAGGGAGGAGCACAGCAGCCAAAACGTGGCAGAACCTCTCAGATGCTCCAAAACTCAACCTTGGCCCATCATCCTCGCATCATCAGTCCCTCAGAGAGCCCTGGGCAGAGCTGGGATTGCTGCCTGAATCCAGCCCTGGGTCCAGGAGCAGCCCAAGTCCTTCACTCCCCCATTTGTGCTCTCCTCCTTCCCCTTGAATGACAAAGCAACTTTTTAAAGCCTCCGCTTGCTTTCCTTGGCTCATGCAATATTAATCTCGGAATTAAACCAAGGCAGAACACAGTCAGCTCCACGAGGAGGAACATTCCAAGCCCTCTAATAGCAGACCAGAGCAATCCAGATTTATGGGTTTTTTTTTTTTTTTTAAGTGAATCACCGCGCTCCGCTGCTGCCTCAGCTCTGCCCCTTCCCCGTGCCCCTCGGAGATTATTTTAGCAATCCCCGAGGCTCAAAGGCTCCTGAATTAACCTCTCCATTCACCAGGCAGTTACCAGGACATCCCACATCCTCTCTGCTCCGATGATCAGCTCTTGGAAACGCAAGAACAGCTTTATCCTCAGCACATCCTGAGCCCACAAAACCCCGGCGTTATCTGGGCAGCAGCACCTCGAGCAGGTGCCCTGCTCAACTCCATCCCAAACCCCTCTCTCATCCTGGCGTGCACTGGAGCAGCTCCGTCCAGAGCCACCGGTTGTGAAATTCAATGTAAATTTTCTGACCGCACCATTGCCCCCGTGAGCGGCTCAGGAAGCGATTTATGACCCGCCAGGCTCGCCCTAACCCCTCCTTACCCTTTTTTTGGGGCCAGGGCTGCAGCAGGAGCTGCATATCAAGTGATTTTTATACCTCTGCATTTCAGCAGCTGCTGCTGCTCCTCATATTTGTGTTTTTTCCTATTCCTCCCTGCTCCAGCATTCCCAGCCACCCCGTTCCTGCTCCCTCCACAGCCCTACGTGGTCTGAAACCCCTCCTTACCCCTTTTTTGGGGCCAGGGCTGCAGCAGGAGCTGCATATCGAGTGATTTCTATACCTGTGCATTTCAGCAGCCACATTCCTGTGGCCGCCCCTCACATTTATGTTTTTGTTTCCTATTCCTCCCCACTCCAGCATTCCTGGTCACCCTATTCCCATTCCCTCCACAGCCCTATGTGATCTGAAACCCCTCCTTACCCTTTTTTTGGGACCAGGGATGCAGCAGGAGCTGCGTATCCAGTGATTTTTATGCCTGTGCTTTTCAGATTCCACATCCCTGCTGCTGCTGCCCCTCATATTTGTGTTTTTTCCTGTTTCTCCCCACTCCAGCATTCCCGGTCACCCCATTCCCATTCCCTCCACAGCCCTATGTGATCTGAAACCCCTCCTTACCCCTTTTT